GAAAGTGATTCGACCGCGGTGTCGATTTTTACGGGACTGTCTAAGTCTAAATCCGACGATAGGTAATTAGGGGAGTCCTGCGAATCCATAGCTTTTGCTAGGGAGTCCTTGAAACCTTTCCAGTTAGTAAAGGTTTTCGTAGTTATAATAGGGGGAGGCTGATGGCCAAGGATAAGGGAGACCGGTCGGTGATCGGATCCTATATCGTCTAGTGTCTCAATAGACCTGAGGTTGAGTGAAACTCCTTTGAGTAACGCAAAATCTAGTACATCTGGGTTTAAATCGGTAGCATCGGGATAGTGCGTTGCACCGAGCGGGCTGAAAACGGTTAAGTCGAGAGACTGCGTTATATCACGCAGTATCCTACCATTAGTATTAATCGTACGGCATGTCCATTCAGTATGTTTAGAGTTAAAATCTCCAAACATAATGACTGAATTACTAAGAGATAAGATTGCCTCAAAATCATCTTTGAGGGGGAGGTTTTTAGGGGGAATGTAACAGGAGGCTATGACTAAAGACTGATGTCCCGTCATAGATAACCTGCATAACGTAGCTTCCATATTGGTAAGCTGCGGAGTATCAATAAGAGAGCAATGTAGTGTCTTCTTGTAATAAATGGCCGTGCCACCGCCTCGGCGGTCGTGCCTATCATTACGAAGAAGAGAATAATTTTTAATGGATAAGCCTTTAGTGTCTTTATTTTTAAGGTTGGTTTCCTGTAAGAGGAGAAAATCAGCTTCGCGATCTTTAAGGAATAGCTTAAGCTCTGGGAGGTTATTTCGCAATCCGCGAATGTTAAATGAAATAAGCGATAGCCCTTTGGGCTTGATACGACCGTGACTTTTAGGCAGAGCGGAGGGCTCTGTCATTGTAAGCTAAGTTAATTAAGTTAACTTAACTTACAACGAACGCAATAGGTTACTGTGCTCTACGAGAGCCAGAAGACGGTCCTGAGGGGACCGCGCGGCGCGCAACTTGTTTGCTAATATAGCAATTTCATTAACGTCAATGTTTCTTATCGCGGCGTAAACCGTGTTAATGTCATCGGCGATTGTAGGCTGTTTCTGCTGCGGAGCAGAGGTTGCCTGCGGTGTTTCGACCTTTTTGGGGCCCCAGGGAAAAACTGGAGCCTGTGTAGGCTTTGAGAAGCCCGGAGGTGGCCTAATAGGTGCTTTTGGTGGTCTCGGGGGACCCTGAGGGGGTCTTGCAACGCCCTGAGACGGCTGAGATACGCCCTGACGGGGCCTCCTAACATATAACGCCGGGAATGAACGGTCATTTACCGGCGGTGGGACCTGTCTAGTTATACGAGGACGAGGAGCGCACGGGCATCCTCTGTAGCTTGCCGGGTGGCCTGTCTGTTGACACAGGACGCACGCGGGCGGGGATACGGCATCTTTAGGCCGGGGACACTCTTTGGTGATGTGTGGATCTAGGCACTTAACGCACCTGGGTGGGGCGGAGCAATTGGCCGCCGCGTGACCATATAGTTGGCAGCGGTGGCACTGCGCCGGGAAACCGCGCCTATGCGGTGACTCAACCCTAACTCCCGACAAGCCGCACACCGTGCGTACTTGCCGGAAGATGGATTGCGCCTCCGGAACGTTGGTAAGGATGGCTAAGACTATCGGGTATCTCAACCCGGTCCTACTGTGCATTTTATGAACAGCTTCGACGGGGAATCCTTGTGACTTAAGGTCATCAAGAATCTCCTCGTTGGAGAGTTCGAACGGGACGCCTCGGATGACGGCCTTGACTTTACGCTCTTCCGGAAGAGCGTATGTATGGTACGATACTCGTTCGTTAGTAAAAAGCCTAGTGAGTCGGCGAAAATCGTCAATAGATTGGGGAACTATTTTTATCGCTACGCCCATGTTCGTAGCTATGTCATATTTAATTCCAGAGTCGTAGCATACCTTGCTCAGTCTGGTGAACTCGGCCTTGTCTCTCAAAAAGACAGGGGGCGGAACTGGTTTTTTCGCGAGTTGCGGAGCGCAACGTGAAGCCGGCTTCGACGGCGCTGCAATATCTAAGGGGGTCGAGGCAGCGGCGGGGGCTGCGGAGGTAGACGCGGCAGCGACGGGGGCTGCGGGGGTGGGGGGAGCGGCACGGGCCGCTTCGGCGGGGGGCGAACGGTTTTTCGCGGCGCGCTTCGCTGCGCGCTTTGACGACACCGTGGTGTACGACGATTCGTTTGAATTAGCACCGGTGTCATCGGAGTCAGAGGATTCCGATGTCCTGGTACTGGAAACTGCGGCGGACCTCTTCCGAGAGGCAGACATTGACGACGTTGACGCGGAGTCGGAGTGAGAGCACTCCATATCTATCTCAAGCGCGGCGAATGAGTTCTGGGACTCTATGTGGGCCGCTATTACGGGCGGCGGGATGATTGCCTTACGGGCGGGACAAGCCAGAAGGGCTATAATGGCAGCAATCTCCTGCGGGTTCATCCTATTGATGGCCTCGAGAAGCGAAGATTTTTGGTCCTGATCGGACATTTTAACAGATCTACAACTAAACTAAAAATAAACTAAAAATTAGAACTATCGTATGACGTGGGGGATCAGGGATCACCGTTCTGAAAAGAACGGGACGCTCTTAATCCAAGAAACAGACCCCTGTTCTCAAAAGAACAGGGACTTGCTCTGAAAAGAGCAAGTAACGTTTTACAAGAAACAGATACACGGAATATAATAAACAGATATGTAATAAAATATACTAATAAACTTATACACTAGTATCTAGTGTTCTACAATATAAAACAAGCGGTCAGCCAACCTCCCCGACCAAGGGCGGGGGGGTGAGAACTGAGAGTTAGCGGAAAACACTTACCGGACTTCAGCGCTTAGGCGCTCACTATCTGAAAAGCGCGAGGCGCGGAGCGGGGGGCACTAGCGTTGGGACGCTAGGCACGCGAACTACCTGTACACAACCGCTCGGGGGCGGTGCAACAGGCGGAGTGGGAAATCGTCGCGAGTGGCGACGCTTTTATATGGTCGACAAATGTGCGGTTACAGGCGAGACTTCTCTACCCATCTCTTTTCCTCCCCCCCCCCCCCTCTCCGTTTTTACTTCATCGTGAATATCGGGTAGACCAAGCATTCGTATTAAAAACTTTTAAATAATAATAATAATATACAATATTATGATATTTGCATTATAGAGAACCCTCGAGGTCTTAATTTCATATGAAATCACTAATATCTTGCTCAAAATATACTCCTTGTAATAAAAATATCGTTTGTGTCTTAAATTGTAGGTTATAATTATTTCTAATAGTTATTAAGCTCTCATAGGCGCGTATTATAGCAGATTTCTAGTTATTAAGTAGACTATTCTAAATTTATTTTACGTAATTTCAAATAAGATCCCTTTATTATTATTATTATTATTTTTATTTTTTTTCGTATCCTTTTATGTATTAGTTGTATGTAAGTATTTTAAAATTGTACATTTGCATGCGAGGTATATCTATAAAAGAATAAATACTCTTAGCGTAGCGGACGAACGAGCGAAATGTAGGGTGACGTTATTATGAGAAACGGATAGTAATACGATATATTTTGTGGCCCTGAAAAGGGCCTTTGAAATACACCTAAAACACACACCAATCACCGACCTTACTTGGAGCTGGTGTATTTGGTGACTGCCTTGGTGCCCTCTGACACGGCGTGCTTGGCGAGTTCACCGGGCAACAGCAGTCTCACGGAGGTCTGCACTTCCCGTGAAGTAATAGTCGAACGCTTGTTGTAATGAGCCAAGCGCGAGGCCTCTGCGGCTATGCGTTCGAAGATGTCGTTAACGAAAGAGTTCATTATGGACATCGCTTTACTGGATATACCAGTATCGGGATGCACCTGCTTGAGCACCTTGTAGATGTAGATGGCGTAACTCTCCTTCCTCTTGTGCTTCTTCTTCTTCTTATCCGACTTCGAGATGTTTTTCTGTGCCTTACCAGACTTCTTGGCGGCTTTACCACTAGTTTTCGGCGGCATCTTGAAGAATATTTAATGTAAATGTGATCACGGATAATACTAAATTATCACTGAACAACACAAAATTTTTTTTTTCTTATATAACGACTATCACGGTGACTCTACTAGCTAGTGGTCTAACGAGCGTATCGAGTGTAGATCAACCAATCAACGACCAGTTTGCCCGGACAAATGGAAGGGGTAGGGTAGAGAGTAGGGGATACGGGCGGAAGATTAGTTTAGAAAGAACGCAAATTTTATTTTATTAAACATTCCAATATAAGTAATATATAATTATACTAATACCCAATTATTTTAATAAAATAAATCATTATCGAATATTTTATAATAATAAAATAACTACTGATAATGTTTTAATAATGCATGTAAATTTATAATTAACATAATACATTGAGTCCATTTATCGCGGCGAGGCAATCCTCTAATCCATCTAAAGCCAACGGCAACGGTGAAGTTCATAAGAGATTTTTACTACATAATATGTTGAACGGTAAGTATTTATATATGTTTCTCTTAAAAAAAAAAAAAAAATATTTTTTTTTTTTTTACCTTTTAGTCTATTGATTATTATTAATTCATAATAAATATGGCTTTCGTCTTATCGTTACCATTACCAATAGAAAGTAATAGCGTACAAAAAGGAATAAGGTATAGTATAGGAGGAACTGAGGAAAGAGGCTTTAAAGAACGTTCGCATTCTAAGAGACTAAATTTATAAATTATCGATAGTATTTGTGGCCCTCAAAAGGGCCTTTTAATCACGTACCAACCACCACGAACGGTAGATAACAATAGAGCAGTAGAGACACGAGTCGACGGACGGCGAATGCACCATTATTATACTAAAGAGCGTAAAACAGAATATGCAATACGTATATAGTACAATTAGGGCATTACCGATCGATAAAACGTCGACGCATACTCTCGTCTAAAGTTCTCAACCATTTTCTTGGGCCTAGTGGTGTGGTGTAGTAATGCGACGGGAGTAGTGTACACACTCGTTTAGGCCTTCTTCTCGGTCTTCTTGGGAAGAAGGACCGCCTGAATGTTGGGTAGTACACCGCCCTGGGCGATCGTCACACCGGAGAGGAGCTTGTTCAACTCTTCATCGTTGCGGATGGCAAGCTGAAGATGTCTCGGTATGATTCTGGTCTTCTTATTGTCCCGAGCAGCGTTACCGGCCAACTCTAGAACTTCAGCGGCGAGGTACTCCATGACTGCGGCCAGGTACACCGGAGCGCCGGCACCCACACGCTCTGCATAATTTCCCTTTCGCAGCAGCCTGTGAATACGTCCAACGGGGAATTGTAGACCGGCACGATTCGAACGGGACTTTGCCTTTCCCTTCACTTTACCGCCTTTACCACGTCCAGACATTGTCGTTAATACGTAATAATAAAATTCTAGAAATGTAGAAAATTAAACACTCGTCTCTATATAGACGACGTCAACACCGATATAAACTAATTTTTTTAACTATTTTCTGTGATGTTAACGCTGTTAACCTATGCGGTTCTTACAGCTTCATCGGACGCAGGGCTCGCGGCCTGAAAGGCCGCGAGCTATTTAAAAGTGGAAAGGCGGTAGCTGGGATAAGGATGAGGATGATGATGGTTTGTGATTTGGTATTGTTACCAATCATCATGTCCCCTCCGTAGAGGTTTATTTTGAGCTATCTAACCGCAGTCCGAGGGGGGGAATGCGAACCCCTGCCTCTGACTGCTTAGCTCGTATCGGTCGATGTTCTGGGCGGTGAGAACCGCCCAGGCACGCGGGTGTACGGAGTGTACGCGGTGTGTGTTGGAACGCGTCGTGCCCGCCTACGGGTGCGACGCGCCCCTTCCGTTGTCCTATTAGTGTTTGTCCCAATTGGTGTGGGTGTAGTGTCAGTGTGTGATGTGCCTGCGACGTTTGGGTCGACGGGATCGAGCGAGCGCGGTTGCTCTATTAATACATTACGCGGTCTACGGAGAAACGGCGCGACGTTCGGTATCGGGACGTAGTTGGCTGCGTTTACCACTAGGGGGTTCGGATGAGCTTCGGCGCTGTCAAAGTAGCGCTGGGACATCTCCTTAAAGTATTCGGAGATACAGGGGAGTTGACAATCGCTGTGTAAATCAGAGTTCCGTTGATACCACCGTGCACCGGTGGCTTTACGGATGAAAAGGTTTTGAACTTTCTGTAGTTCGTTTAGGTGGGACTTATATGTGTGTGCAAAGGCTACACTTGCGTAAGACATGATAGGTCTAACGCAGGATTTGTACAAATGGAGTTTGTGCCTTAGAGACAGCTTACTCTTGCTGTTCACAAGAGGATGGAGACGGCCAATAACTGACTTGGCTTTGTTGCGAACAATACTAATGTGTTTCGCGAAACTCATGTTGGCGTCAAACGTAACGCCCAGATATTTGGCCGAGGATTCCCATGGGATGGGGCGGCCGTATAAGGTAATTACCTTCATACGTTTTCTTGGTCCATTACCGGACTGTTTTGGATTCCGTTGAAAGTATATTGCTACACTTTTTTCGGGATTCACTTCAATTCTCCATTGGCGGAACCATTCGCCTAAGCGATTGGCAGCTTTTTGGAGTTTTAAAGTGAGAATATTCCTATTGTACTCTGATACAAAGAGAGCCGTATCGTCGGCGAAGAGAGCGGTGTTGACCGCTGGATCTTTAGGGATGTCACTCGTAAAAAGTGTAAACAGAATTGGAGACAGGGCGGAGCCTTGTGGGACACCGGCCTTAGGAAAGCGTTTCGAAGAACGGGTTCCCTCCACTCGATAGCGAAAAGAGCGATTTGAAAGGAAGGCTCGGATGATGTGTACGAGCCTGTCCGGCACGTTTAGTTTATACAGCTTGTAGAGCAAGCCGTCGTGCCAGACCTTATCAAATGCCTTTGCGACATCAAAGAAGAGGGCTCCCGTGCCTCGAGATTTTCTCCTTGTCGGATGATGATTGAAGCCAGACAGAATATATTCTGTTAGGCGATGAATTTGGTTAGTACATGAATGTTTGGCTCTAAATCCAAACTGTTCGTCAGGGAGGAGTCTGTTAGTTTCCGTGAAGTGACGGAGGCGCTTGAGGATAGTGTGCTCATATAATTTACCTAAGGTGTTGAGTAGGCTGATAGGCCTGTAACTGGTGGGTCGGTTACGCGGTTTGCCCGGTTTATGGATTCCTATTACGTCTGCTTCTTTCCAGATATCCGGGAAAGAGCAGCTCGAGAGAAGCGCGTTGAAAATTCCTACGAGGAGGTAAATTAACGGTGCCGGAAGAGATTTGATCACCTTGTTACTGATGCCGTCTGGCCCAGGGGCTGATCTAATCTTAAGGCTTTTTATGGTCTTAGTGACTTCTTCGAAAGTCACGGGATCTAGTGGATCGCCCGCTGGCGGTAACGCAGCCCTACGTTCGATTTCCGCTTCTACCTCTAGCAGGTGAGCGGGATCTGTTGGTACGCTGGATGGGGTACACTGGCTCTCTAGACTGTCGGCTAGGCATTCGGCTTTTTCGAGATCGTCTAAGGCGAGATCGGGGTGGTCGAGCCTCACGAGAGGCGGCATGGGAGCAATTTGCTCTGCTTTTATGGCTTTAGTCAGCCTCCAAAAGGCATCTTGAGATGGTTCTAATCCCTCTAAGAGGTTATCCCATTTATCATTTCTAAATTCTACAACGCGTTGTTTAATCTCGTTTTGCAGAGAACGTAGCCGGATTTTGTTATCTGCCGTGCGATAACGGTCATATGCTTTTAGCGCGGAGTTTTTCGCTCTAATCAGCCGTCGAACGTCTGCCGGAAGCTTTGTGTACCGATCGCTCGACACACGAACCTTACGGGAGCACTCTTCGACCGCTGATGTGAGGTGAGTCGATAGGGCGCTAATCGCCCTATTGGCTTCCTCCGGCGAGTCTATCTTGTCCGGTATTGAGTCTAAATGCTGGGAGTTCGTAGACTCAAGTTTGACCTTGAGCTTACGCCAGTCGACGATGGTTTTGGTCTGAGGGACCTCACCAGCCGACCGGCCCAGTTCTAATACGATCGGCCTATGGTCCGAGCATAGTTCGATGAAAGTTTCGATCGAGTTAATGTTAAGCCGGATGTCTTTTAAAATAGCTACGTCAAGGACGTCCGGTTGGTGACTAGTTATAAATGGGTAGTGAGTTGGGCTCTCAGGAGCGATAACGTCGAAGTTAAGTCTCTCCGTGAGGCCGCATAATATGTTTCCGTTTGGATTGTTTAGGTTAGAGTTCCAACTAACGTGCTTACTGTTTAGGTCACCCGCGATTACTACGCTGGGGCCTAGATTTAGTAGTGCCGAGATGTCGGCTTCTAATAAGGGTTTTTGCGGTGGCTGATATGCCGAGGCAATTATGACGGGCGGATGGCCCGTAAGTGCTATTCTACATACCGATGCTTCTAAGTTAGCAAGCGGTGGAGTGTCTAACGGTATACAGTGCAAGGACCTTTTGTAGTAGATCAAGGTGCCGCCTTTAGGTCCGGTCAGCCTATCATTTCTTACTAAGGTATAATTAGCTATTTTGGGATCGCGCACGCTAGGTTTCAAGAAGGTCTCCTGCACTAGCATGATGTCGACATCATGATCGCGTAAAAAGTACACGATTTCTTCCTTTTGATCTCTGATGCCGTTTGCGTTAAAGAACGCGACAGTCAGTGAGCTAGGTTTGGTTCTGCCTGTATGTTGTACTGCCATTTTGTTTTAGAGAGATTATTATTTAGGCGCATTGGAATGAACCGATCGCGTCGATGAGATTGATATGCTCAATGGTGGCATTGAGCTTATCTTGAGCGGATTTGGCCTCGCGTAGTTTACGGGCCAGGGAAGACACTTCGGCAACATTAATATTATTGAAGAAGCTGCAGACTAACGAGAAGTCAGCAGCAAAGGTAGAAGATGCCTGAGGGGCAAGTTTGGGCTTTTGAGCCTGGAGAGAGGGCGCTGGCCGTGAGGCGGCCGCGCTAACAATCGCCGGGGGCTTAACCCATGCGTTCGACGCGGGTGCTGAAGGCACCGATGAGCTTACACCTTGCCCGGAAGACCCTTTAGCGGGGGCGGGTTTGGTGTGAGGCTGAGGGGGCGCGGGTTGAGACACCGAGATCGGTGCTAATGATGGGGCATGTTGCCTAGGACAGGACCTACTAGCGCTAGCCGCTCGTCCGCGCCGGTTTGCGCCTCCGCGCCACTTTCTACGCGGCGCTTTGGTACACCCGCGATAGTTCGCTGGGTGTCCCGCTTCGCCGCACAGAACGCAGCTCGGAGGGCCTTCCGACTCGGGCGTTCGGGTGCACTCGGGTGTGCCGTGGTCACCTAGACACTTAACGCATCTAGGTTTCGCATAGCAATTTTTGGCCGAGTGGCCATACAGTTGGCATCGGTGGCATTGACCAACGATGCCCCTATTACGGGGGGCCTCTACCGTAATCCCAGTGAGATTACAGATTCGGCGAATATTGTAAATTTCTTTCCCTTCCGGGGACAGGTCTAAGATAACTAGACAAAGGTCTAGGTATCTTTTTTTGTCGGTGGGGTGGTGCATTCTGTGCACTTCCCTAACCGGGAGATTCTGCGATTTAAGATCGCTTAAAATGTGCTCGGTTTCGAGCTCCTTAGGGAGCCCGCGAACGACTACGCGGAGGTTGCGTTCTTCCGCAAGGGCGTAAGTATGGAAGCTCAGTTTCTGAACTTTAAGATGCGCAGTTAAAGCGCGGAAGTCATCCGTCGTTGAGACGTGGATGCGTATGCCCTGGCCACCATTGTGGACCTTTGGGCAAAAGATTTTTTTGGAGTCAATCCAATGCGAAAGGTTGCTCCATCGGGATTTATCCTGAAGGATGATCGGGGGCGGCGGTTTTTCCTTGCGCACCGCGGCGGGTTCAGAGTTCGCGATTTTGGCGATTTTAGGGCGCGCTGAAGGCGCGGTCTTTTTAGCCGGAGTGGCGTTAGGTGACGACGACGGGGACGAAGGGGCCGAGTGAGGCTCGGCGCCCTTTTTCGCGGCGGGACGTTTACGTTTTTTGCCCGAGACTACGGTGAAGCCTTCGTCATCGGGCATGGCGGGTTTCGCGACGTCGAACTCCATTTCGGAGCCCGTCTCGGCGTCCGAGAACGCCGGGGACGGCCCACGAGTGGAGAGCGCAGAAGGCGCGGGGGATCCTACGTCATAAAGCGTTTCTACGGACGCGGGGGTCGCGGGTCCGGTGCTGGGCGACATAGGGTCGTCCACCAACACGGTCGGACGTTCAGCAGCGGGCGTTTGGCGTTGCGCTAGAAAGGTCGCCCAAACGTCGGGGCACGCACGACTGAAAAAGTCGGCGAGTTCGGCTATGGTTATAGCCGCCATCTTGTCTTGTTTTTAAGAAAACACTTGTGTACCAAGCTCCCCCACCTCACGGCGGGGGAGGTGTGTGCTTAAACGAACACCTATATACCTAACGCGTTGGTACGTTAGGGTGTGTACCTAGCTGTCGCCTAATGCGACAAGCGAACACAGAGATTAATACAATAACAATATAATAGCCGCCTCTGAGGCGGCACGGCGGTGTGTAATAAACTACTTACAGTTTTTACTGGAAATTGGCAGAGCGTGGGGCACTACACTAATCCCTAACACAATAGAACAATGGGCCGGCGGGCCGATGCAACCTGACGGCGGCAATGACGCACAACACCACTGAAGCACTTCGAGCACTTAATCCTTTTATTGTCTTTTTTTTCGCACAATTGCAACTTAGTAATTCGGGAGCGCATGGGCTCGACCGAAGAATACGTCCGCGCGGCTTGAGCGCAGACAACCGAATCTCTCACTCTAATTTTTTTAAACTCGCGACGTTCCTTTATATAGCCAGCATCGATTCGCCACTAGGTGGGGTGGGGATCGCGAACGCAACACGTTTGCGCGGTCGGTCCGGTCAGACTTTTAGTTAGTTGGAAAATCTCAAGTCAGAGTTGGGAGTTGGGAGTTGGGAGTTGGGAGTCGGGCAGTCGGGCGAGGGCGAAACGAATGTACTTGTAAAGAAGAAAAAAAGAAGAATACTAGGTAGCAGCAATAGGATATAACGCGTTAGAATAGAATAGTATAATATATCGTCGTCGAAGAGGAAGAAAAACGAAAAACTGTAACAAGAAAATTAGGGAGTGTGAAAGTGATAATATTATTTATATACATAATATTATACGTGTTACGTTCGTGTAGGGTCTCGTCGCGTCGCGTCGCGTCACGTCGCGTCGCGTCGCGTCGCGTCGGTCGGTCGGTCGGTCGGTCGGTCGGTTCGGTTCGATTCGATTCGATTCGATTCGGTTGTGTTATCTATTTTACCTAGGCACCTATTAAAATTTTTTTAAAAGTGTGAACGTAGTACGTTGAATTCGTTGAGTAGGTGGTGTGTATATATATATATATATATATATATATATAGAGGTATTTAGTGTTTCGTAAATTGTTGTAACGCATTTACGACGCATCTACGTTTATTGTTTTAATATACGTGTATTTAGCTTATTCGAATTTATATACCTACTTAGTTAAATCGTTATCGTGCGTTCATAAGTTGTGCGTTCGTTATTTCGTTGCAATGTTTACATAATTACATAATATTTTATATTATATTATATAGAACTGCCTGACAGACTGATTTGATTGAAGTGAGGGACGGTGCGATATATATAATATAGGTAGGTAATATATATAATAAGGCAATCATTATGATTGACGCGTGACGTATAAGAAACTCATAGGAAATTTTTGTTAGCCCTGAAAAGGGCTTTTTAGCATTGCGGTCGCTCGCGCATATTCGTATACGACGCGACACACGTACACCATTTATTTTTATAGGTATTATTTATAAGAATAAAATAAAAATAAATAGGCCCGATGCCGCGGCGCTACGAGGCACTCGCGTTCACCCGCGAGGATCCTTCTCCCGTCCCGTCCGTCCCGTCTTGCTGTCACTCTGCCTGCCTGCTTGCCTTCCTACCTACCTACCTACCTACCTACCTACCTGTCTCTCAGCAGCATCAGCCTGCATGCACTACACAATCACATACGCGCGTGACAATTACGCGTACGAGTACGTACGTAGGTAGGTACGGCGGCGGTGGTTATGACGACGGAAGGCGGTGACAGCGGACCTTACTTTTTAGAAGCGGCTGCCTTCTTCGATGCCGCCGCGGAAGGCTTCGATTTGGGTGTTGCCGCCTTCTTCGGTTTTGGAGCCTTAGGTTTCTTTGTCGGTGGTTTGGCGCTCTTTTTCGCCTTCGAAGCGGCGCCTTTCGCCTTAGAAACGCCGCTTTGGCCAGCGGTTGCGGATTTTCTTGCGGCTGCCGGCTTCTTTTTCGCGGCGGCCGCCTTCTTGTCCTTGGTAGCTGCAGACGGTTTTGCCTTAGACGGTGATGATGCGGTCGCTGCCGATGCTGTCTTTTTACCCTTACCCGCGGCGGTGCTCTTCTTCACCTTCGCCGACACCGAGCTAGCGGCGGACGCGCCGCTCTTTGCGCCACCGCTGCTCTTACCCGTCGACGGTTTCTTAGAGGCGGACGATTTTGATTCAAGCTTAAAGGAACCGGAAGCCCCCTTGCCCTTTGTCTGTATAAGCGCACCCGATTCGACTGCGCTCTTCAGGTACTTTCTGATGAACGGAGCTAGTTTTTCAGCGTCGACTTTATATTGAGCGGCAATATATTTTTTTATCGCTTGCAAAGATGATCCACTGCGCTCTTTCAGCTCTTTAATTGCGCTGGTGACCATTTCGGAAGTCTTCGGATGAGTGGGTTTCGCCTTGGGCTTCTTTGCACCACCTGCTGCAGTAGCGGCGGCCTTCGGTTTTTTCGCCGGAGTCGCCGGAGCGGGAGTTTCGGAAGCTACTGCTGTATCTGCCATTACTTCGTAGTAGTAGTATTAGATCACAAACGAACTACAAACACTGACTCACACAACTCGCGATAGATGATAATAACAAAGGAAAATTGTAAATTGTTGTTATATATCGTACACAAATTGATATTACGTAGGATAATACACAGGTGGCGACAGTGGTGGTTCATCTCCTTGTGGAGGTTTTCATGTGTCGAGGAGACCCTCTTTACATGGGCGGCATCTCAGGAGGACACGACCCCCCGGTCCTGGGTGCTGCGTTGGCAGCTTATATGTAGGTGTATTGCGCACCTCGCGCCATCACGTCGAGTGTCGGGACGCTCACTCACCCCCGGCGTCCCCTGTGCCGGGCAGTGAGCGTAGAAGTTCACGTGGGAGTGGTCGCCCGTCAGGTGGGCGGGCGTGGAGGGGAGCAAGATTTTGAAGGTGTAGGTGTGGCCCGTTGTCTGCGCGGTCGAACAACCGTCTCGCAGAACGGACCACAAAATCATGAATGGTTTCGACCTTGAGGTCGCGAGAAATGATGTCATTCCTGACGTAGCGACCGGCTCCCACGATCACCCGGAGCGCAAGATTTTGCTGGGCCTGCAACCTCTTGCGCTGAGTGGCCGAGGTCAACGCGTACCAGGCTGGTGCTGCGTAGGTCAGCCGCGAGCGGATGTAGGTTTTGTAGATACCTATTTTCGTTCTTGTTGGGAGTTTGGATGCCAGTATAGGGTATAGTTTCGCTCGCGCAGCTCTGGCCTGTCTCACAACGTGATTGACCATCGGGGTCATGCGCAGCGAGCGATCTATCTGGCATCCTAGGTACGTAATGGTACTACTCCAACCCACATCCTGCCCGCGGAGTTGCAGGGTTGGTGGTGTTCTGGCCAGCCTGGTCATGAAGGCGACGGTCTTCTCGACGTTGACCGCCAGCCTCCATTTGTCCAGCCACTCAGGCAAGAGGTCGAGTACCCGCTGCAATTTCTTAGCAGCTATGTCCACCCGACGTGATGACGCGAAGTACGCACTGTCGTCGGCGTACAAGGCTAGGACAACGTCATCCTCCCATTCCTCCAGATGGCCTTGGAGGGTGGGGATGTCGTTGGTGTAGACCGCGTACAGGTGCGGTGATAGGCAGCTGCCCTGTGGCACTCCCGCAGAAATCGGTCGTGCCGCCGAAACAGCCCCTTCCAAGGAGACATGGAAGCTCCGCCCTTCCAGGAATGACGCTATTAACCGCACAAGCATGGGCGGTAAAGTGGTGTGCTGAATGAGTTTATAAACTAGCCCTGCGTGCCACACCCTGTCGAAGGCCTTCTCCATGTCGAGAAGGACCCCCACACAGATGCGGCCGAAGTTATATTCGGCCGCAAGATAGTGCAGCACGCGGGCCAGCTGAGAGGTTGTGGAATGTCCCCTGCGGAAGCCAAATTGCTCCTCACGCAGGGTAACATGTGGGAGAACCCTGTTCAGGGTGATTTTTTCAAAAAGTTTTGCTATGTGCGGCAATAGCGTTATGGGGCGGTAGCTGGCCGGGAACCTCCTATCTTTTCCCGGCTTCGGCAGCACGATGATTCTGCCCTGCTTCCATATGGTCGGGAAGTGGCCAGTCCGCAGGATGCCATTATACAGACTGGTGAGTGCCACTATTACCCTTCTGGGCAGCTGCTTTATGGCAATGGTGGTAATGCCGTCATAACCCGGCGCTTTACGGCTAGGTAGGCGCATAATAGTGCGCCTTACCTCTGCTGGAGATATGAAATCGCCGCCTCGCAATGGCGGCGCCGGGTTAGAGAGGTATTTCCGTACGCGGTCCTCTATGCCTTGTACGTGGTCTGCGTACCCCTCTGCTATGCTGTTGGGTATGAACTGTTGTTCTAGGAAGCAATGAGGTGGCGACCCCTACGTTGTCGTCTGCTGAGGTGTGTGTACTACACCCAACAGGTCTCGGGCCTCGGGGCTGACCCCATTGCCCGGAATCTCCTCGCGGTGCATAACTATGCACCGGTCGTGGGAGCCGTTTCGGCATTGTTAGATGCTATAGTGATACGGGTTTGGTTCCCCGGTCACTATTTTCAGTTTAAAGTCTTCTTCCAAAAATTTTTTTCAGGAGGTGGGTAATATGGCCCGCTCCTGAAAAACGTGGCATTATATGGCCTTTTTTCCTGAAAAGGCGCCTAATTCGGCCTAAGCCTGAAAAAGACGCCTAGTTCGGTATATGGTTATCTGGTAAATTTGTGTGTCAAGTCAATATGGCCGGCGGCTAATGCGGCCGGCCGTCTGGGTTGGCCTGTCTGCGGCATTGCGGGTTATTACTCGACTCTCTAATCTCTATAGAGAGGAGTTCTCTTGGCAGAGGTCGCCCGTCCGGTGGTCGAGCATGTAGGGGAGCGAAATTTTGTAGATGTTCGTGTGGCCCGTTATCAGCGCGGTCGAACATACCGCGCGCTAATCGGGCCACAAATTCCTTGATTGTTTCCATCTTAAGGTTCGCCGCGATGACGTCGTTCCGGACGTAGCGACCTGCACCGACGATGGTCCGTAGACTTAGGTTCTGCTGAACCTGCAGCCGCTGCCTCTGCCGTTCGCTCAGGAGTGCGTACCAGGCCGGCGCGGCATAGGTGATCTTTGTGCGTATGTATAACTTATAGATTTTCAACTTTGTTCTCAGCGGTAGTTTGGATGCCAGGACCGGACGGAGCGCCGTCCGCGCACATCTGGCATTGCGGACGACGATGTCGACGTGCGCGGTCATGCGCAGCATCCTGTCGATCCGGCACCCAAGGTAAGTCACGGCCTTTTCGTACGCAATCTCCTGGCCTCTAAGCGTCAACGGGGGCGGGAAGTTCCGGTAGCGGCGGGTGAGGAGGGCGGCCGTTTTCCCAACGTTTACAGCCATCCTCCACTCATCCAGCCACGATGGCAGCAGGTCCAGCAGGCGCTGCATCTTGGCGACGGCGAGATGGGGGCTTCTGGACGAGGCGAAGTAGGCGCTGTCGTCCGCATATAACGCCAGCTCCACGTCGTCCTCCCATTCGCGTAGATGTCCAGCCAAAGTAGGGATGTCATTTGTATAAGCCGCGTACAGGATCGGTGAGAGACAACTGCCCTGTGGTACGCCAGCTCTTATGGGTTTTACTGCGGATTCGGCATCTTCGACACAGACGTAGAAGCTCCGGTCGGCTAGAAACGACGCCACTAGCCGCAGCATAGCCGGAGGGACACTCGTCTGTTGTTCCATCTTAAAGAGTAAACCAGGTGGCGACAGTGGTGGTTCATCTCCTTGTGGAGGTTTTCATGTGTCGAGGAGACCCTCTTTACATGGGCGGCATCTCAGGAGGACACGACCCCCCGGTCTTGGGTGCTGCGTTGGCAGCTTATATGTAGGTGTATTGCGCACCTCGCGCCATCACGTCGAGTGTCGGGACGCTCACTCACCCCCGGCGTCCCCTGTGCCGGGCAGTGAGCGTAGAAGTTCACGTGGGAGTGGTCGCCCGTCAGGTGGGCGGGCGTGAAGGGGAGCAAGATTTTGAAGGTGAAGGTGTGGCCCGTTGTCTGCGCGGTCGAACAACCGTCTCGCAGAACGGACCACAAAATCATGGATGGTTTCGACCTTGAGGTCGCGAGAAATGATGTCATTCCTGACGTAGCGACCGGCTCCCACGATCACCCGAAGCGCAAGATTTTGCTGGGCCTGCAACCTCTTGCGCTGAGTGGCCGAGGTCAACGCGTACCAGGCTGGTGCTGCGTAGGTCAGCCGCGAGCGGATGTAGGTTTTGTAGATACCTATTTTCGTTCTTGTTGGGAGTTTGGATGCCAGTATAGGGTATAGTTTCGCTCGCGCCGCTCTGGCCTGTCTCACAACGTGATTGACCATCGGGGTCATGCGCAGCGAGCGATCTATCTGGCATCCTAGGTACGTAATGGTACTACTCCAACCCACATCCTGCCCGCGGAGTTGCAGAGTTGGTGGTGTTCTGGCCAGCCTGGTCATGAAGGCGACGGTCTTCCCGACATTGACCGCCAGCCTCCATTTGTCCAGCCACTCAGGCAAGAGGTCGAGTACCCGCTGCAATTTCTTAGCAGCTATGTCCACCCGACGTGATGACGCGAAGTACGCACTGTCGTCGGCGTACAAGGCTAGGACAACGTCATCCTCCCATTCCTCCAGATGGCCTTGGAGGGTGGGGATGTCGTTGGTGTAGACCGCGTACAGGTGCGGTGATAGGCAGCTGCCCTGTGGCACTCCCGCAGAAATCGGTCGTGCCGCCGAAACAGCCCCTTCCAAGGAGACATGGAAGCTCCGCCCCTCCAGGAATGACGCTATTAACCGCACAAGCATGGGCGGTAAAGTGGTGTGCTGAATGAGTTTATAAACTAGCCCTGCGTGCCACACCCTGTCGAAGGCCTTCTCCATGTCGAGAAGGACCCCCACACAGATGCGGCCGAAGTTATATTCGGCCGCAAGATAGTGCAGCACGCGGGCCAGCTGAGACGTGGTTGAATGTCCCCTGCGGAAGCCAAATTGCTCCTCCCGCAGGGTAACATGTGGGAGTACCCTGTTCAGGGTGATTTTCTCGAAGAGTTTTGCTATGTGCGGCAATAGCGTTATGGGGCGGTAGCTGGCCGGGAACCTCCTGTCTTTTCCCGGCTTCGGCAGCACGATGATTCTGCCCTGCTTCCATATGGTCGGGAAGTGGCCAGTCCTCAGGATGCCATTATACAGCCTGGTGAGTGCCACTATTACCCTTCTAGGCAGCTGCTTTATTGCAGTGGTGGTTATGCCGTCGTAACCCGGCGCTTTACGGCTAGGTAGGCGCATAATAGTGCGCCTTACCTCTGCTGGAGATATGAAATCGCCGCCTCGCAATGGCGGCGCCGGGTTAGAGAGGTATTCCCGTACGCGGTCCTCTATGCCTTGTACGTGGTCTGCGTACCCCTCTGCTATGCTGTTGGGTATAAACTGTTGCTCTAGGTGCTGTGCCATCAACTCCGCTCTAGGTTGGGCGTCGTAAATCCTACTCCCCGTGCTGTCCACCAGTGGGCAGACAGGTGGTGGTGTCTTGGAGAGCTGCCGGTTGAGGAGATGCAGGGAGGCGGGTGTCTCCGAGGCTTCGTCGACTCGCCTCTCCCATGCTTCTCCCCTGTATGCTCTCATTGCTTCCGACAGCTCTTCCGTTAGAGAGTTAAGTTTAGTTTTAAGCCGTGGGCATCGTGTCCGTGCCCAGAGCCTCCTCAGTTTCCGTTTTTCGGATAGTTGAATTTGCAGTTTGCGTGGGAGTTCCTCCTTTCCGCGCCCCGTGGAGACAGGGTGGGAATGAAGTTGTAGTTGGTCTTTAATGGTATTATGAATATGCAGGGCCGCTGTCTCCACATCTTCATAGGTGGTGATAGAGGCGCAGAGTTGGAGGTCCTCCAGCGCACTGCGGAAGCGTTGCCAATTAGTCCTCATTCTGAGGCTTCTGGGCACTGCGGCATCCGCACTGGTGTCGATCGTAATCAGCACGGGGAGGTGTTGCGTTTCTAGGTCATACAACACTTCTAACCGTGTTGTATACGGCACTAGATGACACAGCACAATATCAAGAACATCGGGCTGATGTTCGGGTTTTGTCGGGATATGAGTGGGCTCGTCTGGGCCCAGCACCTCGTACCCCCACTCCTCGGCGTCATCAAACAGTTTTCTTCCGGGTGGTGTGATCAGCCCGGAGCCCCAAGCGGGATGTTTTGCGTTGAGGTCTCCGGCGATAATTGCGGGCGTTGTGGAGTCGAAAATGGTACGTATATCCTGGGGGGCAAACGAGGTGCCAGGAGGTCGGTAGGCGGCAAAGATTCTCAGTTCTTTGGTGCCTACCTTCAACCTTATACCCTTGGTTCTTGTGGATTTAAATTGTGTGTTGGTGCCAACTTCTTCGTGCATGACGTCCCTCCTCACAAGGACCGCAGTACCCCTGTACGCGATTCCTTCTGGGGAGATCTCGTCGTGGCGGTACACGAAGAAGTTGGGGAGTTTTAGTTGTGCAGAGGGGCGCAGTTTAGTCTCCCCCAGCAGCACAATTTGGATATTGTGCTGCTGGACCAGGGTTCTCAGGTCGGCGACCTTCCCTAAGATGCCGCCGGGGTTCCAGTAGACCATCCTAAGTTGATGGCCTGCTGACAGATGTTAGTTGGGCTAAGGCCGTTAAGATGGCCGAAAGGGGGTTGGTGCCGGTGGTCATGGCAGTCAGGACCTCTCCTAAGATCCTGATTACCACGCCCACCAGTTGAGCGAGGGCCTCCTCGATGGTGGTTGGTGCCTGGGGCTGTGATAGGGGTGTGACAGTTATTGTCCTTTTGGGTGGGCGTTGATCTCGGGGTTGGGGTGCAGATTGCTCGTTCTGATTTGATGGAGGGAAGGTATATCGCAGTTGTGGCAGTGGTAGTCGCTGTTCATTGGTGGTGTTGGGTGGAGGAAGAGGAGTTGAAGTACCACCCACTTGAGCTGTTTGGGTGGTTGCCTTCTTCTTCTTCTTCTTCTTGCCTCTTTTCCTCTTTGGGCGCTCTATGCGCTCCGTGGGATCATTCGCCGGTGGAGCTAATGTCGCCCCAGTCGTCGCAAATGTAGTAGGCGCTGGTGCTAATGTCACCTGCCGCTGTTGCGGTTGAGGCGCCTGGTGTAGTGGTTGCTGCTGTTGTTGCAGTTGTTGTGATGGATAATAGGTTTGCCTTTGAGGCGGTGGTGGTTGTCGTTGTTGTGGAGGCGGTTGATGTTGTGGTGCTTGTGCTGCTGCTTGCGGGGGTATGGGAGGCTGTATGTTTATGCCTCTCTTCCTCGCAATTCGCTGCAGCACAGGGCATCGCCTATCATTTGCGGCGTGATCCCTACCGCAGTTGGCGCACTTGGGCTGTGCATCCCGCGGTTGTGGGCAAGCTGAGGCGAGATGGTCACCTGCACAGCGCACACATTTGAAGGGTCGGTAGCAATTGTACGATGCATGCCCGAACCCTTGACATCTGTGACACTGTGCAGGACCAATTCTGCCTGTCCAGCCTTCTATTTGTACCCCCGGCATGTAGAGCAGCTCATCAATCTTATATAGTCTGTTGAGCTCCTCGGGGCTTAGGTGGTTCATCTTTACGTGAAACAGGCATCCGGGCCTGCCTCTTTTGGGTGGTATGGATCGGACAAAAGTGACAGGGAAGCCCTTCTCTATGAGGGCCTCCTGTATGTCCTTTGGATCAGTGTCGGCAGGGAGCCCTCTTAACCCCACCTTCGTGGGTTGCTCCTCTTGTGGGGCGTAGCAATACCACACGAAGGTGGCGTCCTCCTTGCTTTTCTCAATAAGGTACTTTTGGACCTTCCGATACTCGTCGTCGGACTGGGGCCGAAAACGGACTCCCTTCCCAAACGGGCGAGCATTAGGGGCGTGTCCCAGAAGCTGGTGGATAATTTTGAAGTGCTTCGCCCAATTGGGGAAGCACTCCACTATAATAGGAGGGTATTTGGCCTGGTTATTTACTGGTTGTTGTTGTTTTTGTGCAGATGGTGGTGGAGGAGATGGTGGCGCTGATCTCGGCGCTGCTGCAATTTGCGCATAAGAGTCCGGCGCAGAAGATGGACCAGGCATGGGCTCCTGGTTTACAGGTTGGGAGTCTTGCATTGGGGCTAGAGTGGCGTAGGACGTATTGTCCCACTCTCTCTCCCCTTCCGGGTCTTCCTCGCCGAAATCCTGCATATCAGCGGTGCAAGCCGGAGAGGTGGTTGGAGACGGTGAGTTTGGCGGAATGTTATGCCTTACCACAGGTTGTGGGGCTTGTCTCTCGGGTGGGGTTACCGAGGAAGGAGGCGATGCCGAATCAGATAGTGAGTCTGATCCGGCTCTCAGCCTTTTCTCCTCTTGGAGCTGGTCTTTGTCTATTTCAGGAGGTGTACGTCTCCGCGAGGCTTGGCTCCGGCGTGGTAGTGGCGCCGGTTCGACGCTAGGTGGAGACACAGCTTCACCAGCGCCGAGCGCGGTGCCAGTGGCCGATGAACTACCAATACGCCTCGGGAGTTGGCTATACGGTGGGAGCACTCGCGACCTCTCAGGAGCGAAGAGGTCTCGCTCCATGAGGGGCCTGTCGAGAACTCCCAGACGCCTGTCGGGTGGTTTTCGGCGTGTTGGGGGAGGTTCCCCCTTGTCCGACATCACAAATTACTTGTGCTCAGCCCTTGGCTATCACACACCTTACTCCCCTCAGCGCGTGCAACCACACCGGGTGAGACCCGTGAGGGAGGCCCAGCGAGGCGCCCGCGAGCAGGGAGGGGTGTGTGAGGCGCAGATGGGATGGGCGTTATCTCACAAAATGCGGAACACTTGCAAACACTTTTTAAATAAAAAGAGGGTACAGTGTACAAACAAGATAAAAACGCAAAGTAGGGCACAGCGTAGGTTGTGACCTTTGCGCTTACCTTGATAACAGCTCGATGCAGGAGATGCGCCAGCGACGCCTCGACGCCAAACGGAGCGAACTCGACGTCGGCGGAGTCAATCACTAGCACAACACGTACACAACACAGGAGCGCACTAGACACGTCCGCACTGTAGCACGGCCCGCAACGAACTGGTGAGGTGGCGACAGTGGTGGTTCATCTCCTTGTGGAGGTTTTCATGTGTCGAGGAGACCCTCTTTACATGGGCGGCATCTCAGGAGGACACGACCCCCCGGTCTTGGGTGCTGCGTTGGCAGCTTATATGTAGGTGTATTGCGCACCTCGCGCCATCACGTCGAGTGTCGGGACGCTCACTCACCCCCGGCGTCCCCTGTGCCGGGCAGTGAGCGTAGAAGTTCACGTGGGAGTGGTCGCCCGTCAGGTGGGCGGGCGTGAAGGGGAGCAAGATTTTGAAGGTGAAGGTGTGGCCCGTTGTCTGCGCGGTCGAACAACCGTCTCGCAGAACGGACCACAAAATCATGGATGGTTTCGACCTTGAGGTCGCGAGAAATGATGTCATTCCTGACGTAGCGACCGGCTCCCACGATCACCCGAAGCGCAAGATTTTGCTGGGCCTGCAACCTCTTGCGCTGAGTGGCCGAGGTCAACGCGTACCAGGCTGGTGCTGCGTAGGTCAGCCGCGAGCGGATGTAGGTTTTGTAGATACCTATTTTCGTTCTTGTTGGGAGTTTGGATGCCAGTATAGGGTATAGTTTCGCTCGCGCCGCTCTGGCCTGTCTCACAACGTGATTGACCATCGGGGTCATGCGCAGCGAGCGATCTATCTGGCATCCTAGGTACGTAATGGTACTACTCCAACCCACATCCTGCCCGCGGAGTTGCAGAGTTGGTGGTGTTCTGGCCAGCCTGGTCATGAAGGCGACGGTCTTCCCGACATTGACCGCCAGCCTCCATTTGTCCAGCCACTCAGGCAAGAGGTCGAGTACCCGCTGCAATTTCTTAGCAGCTATGTCCACCCGACGTGATGACGCGAAGTACGCACTGTCGTCGGCGTACAAGGCTAGGACAACGTCATCCTCCCATTCCTCCAGATGGCCTTGGAGGGTGGGGATGTCGTTGGTGTAGACCGCGTACAGGTGCGGTGATAGGCAGCTGCCCTGTGGCACTCCCGCAGAAATCGGTCGTGCCGCCGAAACAGCCCCTTCCAAGGAGACATGGAAGCTCCGCCCCTCCAGGAATGACGCTATTAACCGCACAAGCATGGGCGGTAAAGTGGTGTGCTGAATGAGTTTATAAACTAGCCCTGCGTGCCACACCCTGTCGAAGGCCTTCTCCATGTCGAGAAGGACCCCCACACAGATGCGGCCGAAGTTATATTCGGCCGCAAGATAGTGCAGCACGCGGGCCAGCTGAGACGTGGTTGAATGTCCCCTGCGGAAGCCAAATTGCTCCTCCCGCAGGGTAACATGTGGGAGTACCCTGTTCAGGGTGATTTTCTCGAAGAGTTTTGCTATGTGCGGCAATAGCGTTATGGGGCGGTAGCTGGCCGGGAACCTCCTGTCTTTTCCCGGCTTCGGCAGCACGATGATTCTGCCCTGCTTCCATATGGTCGGGAAGTGGCCAGTCCTCAGGATGCCATTATACAGCCTGGTGAGTGCCACTATTACCCTTCTAGGCAGCTGCTTTATTGCAGTGGTGGTTATGCCGTCATAACCCGGCGCTTTACGGCTAGGTAGGCGCATAATAGTGCGCCTTACCTCTGCTGGAGATATGAAATCGTCGCCTCGCAATGGCGGCGCCGGGTTAGAGAGGTATTCCCGTACGCGGTCCTCTATGCCTTGTACGTGGTCTGCGTACCCCTCTGCTATGCTGTTGGGTATAAACTGTTGCTCTAGGTGCTGTGCCATCAATTCCGCTCTAGGTTGGGCGTCGTAAATCCTACTCCCCGTGCTGTCCACCAGTGGGCAGACAGGTGGTGGTGTCTTGGAGAGCTGCCGGTTGAGGAGATGCAGGGAGGCGGGTGTCTCCGAGGCTTCGTCGACTCGCCTCTCCCATGCTTCTCCCCTGTATGCTCTCATTGCTTCCGACAGCTCTTCCGTTAGAGAGTTAAGTTTAGTTTTAAGCCGTGGGCATCGTGTCCGTGCCCAGAGCCTCCTCAGTTTCCGTTTTTCGGATAGTTGAATTTGCAGTTTGCGTGGGAGTTCCTCCTTTCCGCGCCCCGTGGAGACAGGGTGGGAATGAAGTTGTAGTTGGTCTTTAATGGTATTATGAATATGCAGGGCCGCTGTCTCCACATCTTCATAGGTGGTGATAGAGGCGCAGAGTTGGAGGTCCTCCAGCGCACTGCGGAAGCGTTGCCAATTAGTCCTCATTCTGAGGCTTCTGGGCACTGCGGCATCCGCACTGGTGTCGATCGTAATCAGCACGGGGAGGTGTTGCGTTTCTAGGTCATACAACACTTCTAACCGTGTTGTATACGGCACTAGATGACACAGCACAATATCAAGAACATCGGGCTGATGTTCGGGTTTTGTCGGGATATGAGTGGGCTCGTCTGGGCCCAGCACCTCGTACCCCCACTCCTCGGCGTCATCAAACAGTTTTCTTCCGGGTGGTGTGATCAGCCCGGAGCCCCAAGCGGGATGTTTTGCGTTGAGGTCTCCGGCGATAATTGCGGGCGTTGTGGAGTCGAAAATGGTACGTATATCCTGGGGGGCAAACGAGGTGCCAGGAGGTCGGTAGGCGGCAAAGATTCTCAGTTCTTTGGTGCCTACCTTCAACCTTATACCCTTGGTTCTTGTGGATTTAAATTGTGTGTTGGTGCCAACTTCTTCGTGCATGACGTCCCTCCTCACAAGGACCGCAGTACCCCTGTACGCGATTCCTTCTGGGGAGATCTCGTCGTGGCGGTACACGAAGAAGTTGGGGAGTTTTAGTTGTGCAGAGGGGCGCAGTTTAGTCTCCCCCAGCAGCACAATTTGGATATTGTGCTGCTGGACCAGGGTTCTCAGGTCGGCGACCTTCCCTAAGATGCCGCCGGGGTTCCAGTAGACCATCCTAAGTTGATGGCCTGCTGACAGATGTTAGTTGGGCTAAGGCCGTTAAGATGGCCGAAAGGGGGTTGGTGCCGGTGGTCATGGCAGTCAGGACCTCTCCTAAGATCCTGATTACCACGCCCACCAGTTGAGCGAGGGCCTCCTCGATGGTGGTTGGTGCCTGGGGCTGTGATAGGGGTGTGACAGTTATTGTCCTTTTGGGTGGGCGTTGATCTCGGGGTTGGGGTGCAGATTGCTCGTTCTGATTTGATGGAGGGAAGGTATATCGCAGTTGTGGCAGTGGTAGTCGCTGTTCATTGGTGGTGTTGGGTGGAGGAAGAGGAGTTGAAGTACCACCCACTTGAGCTGTTTGGGTGGTTGCCTTCTTCTTCTTCTTCTTCTTGCCTCTTTTCCTCTTTGGGCGCTCTATGCGCTCCGTGGGATCATTCGCCGGTGGAGCTAATGTCGCCCCAGTCGTCGCAAATGTAGTAGGCGCTGGTGCTAATGTCACCTGCCGCTGTTGCGGTTGAGGCGCCTGGTGTAGTGGTTGCTGCTGTTGTTGCAGTTGTTGTGATGGATAATAGGTTTGCCTTTGAGGCGGTGGTGGTTGTCGTTGTTGTGGAGGCGGTTGATGTTGTGGTGCTTGTGCTGCTGCTTGCGGGGGTATGGGAGGCTGTATGTTTATGCCTCTCTTCCTCGCAATTCGCTGCAGCACAGGGCATCGCCTATCATTTGCGGCGTGATCCCTACCGCAGTTGGCGCACTTGGGCTGTGCATCCCGCGGTTGTGGGCAAGCTGAGGCGAGATGGTCACCTGCACAGCGCACACATTTGAAGGGTCGGTAGCAATTGTACGATGCATGCCCGAACCCTTGACATCTGTGACACTGTGCAGGACCAATTCTGCCTGTCCAGCCTTCTATTTGTACCCCCGGCATGTAGAGCAGCTCATCAATCTTATATAGTCTGTTGAGCTCCTCGGGGCTTAGGTGGTTCATCTTTACGTGAAACAGGCATCCGGGCCTGCCTCTTTTGGGTGGTATGGATCGGACAAAAGTGACAGGGAAGCCCTTCTCTATGAGGGCCTCCTGTATGTCCTTTGGATCAGTGTCGGCAGGGAGCCCTCTTAACCCCACCTTCGTGGGTTGCTCCTCTTGTGGGGCGTAGCAATACCACACGAAGGTGGCGTCCTCCTTGCTTTTCTCAATAAGGTACTTTTGGACCTTCCGATACTCGTCGTCGGACTGGGGCCGAAAACGGACTCCCTTCCCAAACGGGCGAGCATTAGGGGCGTGTCCCAGAAGCTGGTGGATAATTTTGAAGTGCTTCGCCCAATTGGGGAAGCACTCCACTATAATAGGAGGGTATTTGGCCTGGTTATTTACTGGTTGTTGTTGTTTTTGTGCAGATGGTGGTGGAGGAGATGGTGGCGCTGATCTCGGCGCTGCTGCAATTTGCGCATAAGAGTCCGGCGCAGAAGATGGACCAGGCATGGGCTCCTGGTTTACAGGTTGGGAGTCTTGCATTGGGGCTAGAGTGGCGTAGGACGTATTGTCCCACTCTCTCTCCCCTTCCGGGTCTTCCTCGCCGAAATCCTGCATATCAGCGGTGCAAGCCGGAGAGGTGGTTGGAGACGGTGAGTTTGGCGGAATGTTATGCCTTACCACAGGTTGTGGGGCTTGTCTCTCGGGTGGGGTTACCGAGGAAGGAGGCGATGCCGAATCAGATAGTGAGTCTGATCCGGCTCTCAGCCTTTTCTCCTCTTGGAGCTGGTCTTTGTCTATTTCAGGAGGTGTACGTCTCCGCGAGGCTTGGCTCCGGCGTGGTAGTGGCGCCGGTTCGACGCTAGGTGGAGACACAGCTTCACCAGCGCCGAGCGCGGTGCCAGTGGCCGATGAACTACCAATACGCCTCGGGAGTTGGCTATACGGTGGGAGCACTCGCGACCTCTCAGGAGCGAAGAGGTCTCGCTCCATGAGGGGCCTGTCGAGAACTCCCAGACGCCTGTCGGGTGGTTTTCGGCGTGTTGGGGGAGGTTCCCCCTTGTCCGACATCACAAATTACTTGTGCTCAGCCCTTGGCTATCACACACCTTACTCCCCTCAGCGCGTGCAACCACACCGGGTGAGACCCGTGAGGGAGGCCCAGCGAGGCGCCCGCGAGCAGGGAGGGGTGTGTGAGGCGCAGATGGGATGGGCGTTATCTCACAAAATGCGGAACACTTGCAAACACTTTTTATAATAAAAAGAGGGTACAGTGTACAAACAAGATAAAAACGCAAAGTAGGGCACAGCGTAGGTTGTGACCTTTGCGCTTACCTTGATAACAGCTCGATGCAGGAGATGCGCCAGCGACGCCTCGACGCCAAACGGAGCGAACTCGACGTCGGCGGAGTCAATCACTAGCACAACACGTACACAACACAGGAGCGCACTAGACACGTCCGCACTGTAGCACGGCCCGCAACGAACTCAGGTGGCGACACTATCGCCACCTTACCCCCCCAACCAAAGCTTAACCGTAAGGAGAACCGCGGTGCTGCGAGACGTTTTCTCGTACGAACACTTCTAACTTTTCACTAGAACGTCTCGAATAAAATTTAATTTTTACCGTGATATATAAATATTATCGTATTCAGAAAGTTAATACGGTATATATTTGAGATTGTGCACGTAACAGACAAACCCGTTACGTATATAAGCGATCGAGAAACGAGCAATGGATGTTTATTTTGTTCACTATATTCTGAGCGTACCATGAGCCGCCTTTTAAAATGATTTTTCTCTATTTGCTCATTAGTTTAGTTAAATTTAAATCGGTCTATTGAAAGTTAATATCCTGAGGTTAGACAGAAGGCAGAGGTCACGCCGGTAATGCATTATTCGTAATGCAACGACCTATTATACGTCGAAGGTCGTAAAACACGAAGAGGTCTCGAGGCTCACAGACCGAAGTCCCTATACAAAGCGTACGATCTTTGAAAATAGTCTATAATATTTTAAAATTTGTCCACTGTAATCTGAAATAATTATTATAAATCATTATTATTTCTAGAATGTTGCAACACGTTCCCATACTTCTTTAAAATACGTACAAAAGCTGGGCACGCTTCAGAGCAACGTATGTTTATAAAGCGTTAAGTATTTAAAAAAAAAAAAAAATGAAGTGTGATATTATTAAAATATAGTATATCATATTATAATGTATATATTAAATAATAAGGGAGATAAATAAGAGAGAAAAAAAAATACAATTCGGAATTATGATAATATATTCCTAAGACGTTCGAACCATTATTTCAATATGGCGATATCTTACACTTGTTGTTTAATAGGTATCGTCAAATTTAAGAAGAGTATAGTCATTTAATGCCTACATGAATTGACGTTTCTTTCATTCAGATCAGTTTTTCGAAATTATTTCGAATTAAAAAAAATAAACCTAATTTTGTTCCGCGTTTAATTGGTATACATAAATCTTATGTGATGCCTTTACAGCTTTAAATACTTAACATAACTTTATAGACAGACACATCTAATTCTAATATGCACTTACATACATGATCATAAACACACATACATTCGCAATTATATACTACATAATCATGCCATTTATACACATATCCGTACAACAAAATACATGCTTGCACATATCATTTCTTTTTTTTTTTTTTTTAAATGACGATACTCTACGAAACAAATACAAGTTATATCGATAGTTTTGCGGCCCTGAAAAGGGCCTTTTTTTTTTTAAACTTATACGATTAGGAAAATCGTCTCATCACGTAACTTAACTCTCAGAGTCCCGCATACCAAGTAGCAAATACACACTGCGCACATGGTGTACTATAGACGAACTTAGAGCGGACAGAGAGCCGTAGTACGTGGCGGTGGACGACGTCTTCATCGCGTAGCGTATAAGAAATTAACCACCGAATCCGTAGAGGGTACGTCCTTGACGTTTCAGGGCGTACACGACATCCATTGCGGTGACGGTTTTCCTCTTCGCATGCTCGGTGTATGTAACAGCGTCACGAATCACGTTCTCAAGGAACACCTTGAGTACACCGCGTGTCTCTTCGTAGATTAACCCGGAGATACGTTTCACACCGCCCCTGCGTGCGAGACGTCTGATAGCCGGTTTGGTGATACCCTGGATGTTATCACGAAGAACTTTTCTGTGCCGCTTCGCTCCACCTTTCCCCAAACCTTTACCACCTTTACCGCGACCGGTCATTTTCGCTTAGAGAAGAAAGACAACACACGAAATAATATATATAGAGACTTAACGTACGTTACGAACGCACGACGACAGATAGACCGCTTTTTTTTTTTTTTTTTGCGCCCGAAGCAATTGGAAAAGGGCTACCACTGAGGGAGGCGGAAAATGCATTATGCATACCACGACAGCCGGTCTGTCCTGGTTATGTGGGACTCACTGCCTACCGGGGGACCTAAGTGATACCCACTAAAAACCGCCTTTGGGGACTGGCAACTAGCTCTATTAAAGCTGCATATGCCGTATCTAAAGCGACCCTCTTTTGGGAAAAGAGGGCGCAGACGGCTAAGTGCCGTTTAGGGACTGCCTACGAAGGCATATTATTAATTTTAACTAGTTTTTAATTTAATTAGGATTGGCCTGAGCCGCCAGGAGGCAGTTCAGGTCGTTTGACAACTTATTTGGCGGGTCCAAGAGAGTGTTTCTCGGCCTGCGGACGCTATAGCGAGAAGGGAGTGGGGCGGTATAAGTAACTGCCTCACGAATAAGTGTGTTAGTATGCGACTCTGATACTTTAAAGAAGTTTTCAGAGAATTTTTTAAGACATTGCTGGATTGTTGGGATTTCTAAATCCCGGTGAAGGTCGGCATTACGGACGTACCAAGGTGCGTTCGTAGCTCGACGACAGAAGAGGTTTTGAACTACTTGGAGTTCGTTAATAATTTTATCGTTAGCGTGTGCAAAAATAGGAGCCGAGTAAGTCATAACCGGTCGTATACAAACCTTATAGAGGGTTCGCTTATTTCGTAATGACATTTTGCTATGTCTGCCTAACATACTGTTAAGCCGACCTAAATAGAAACGTGCTAGACGCGTTACTCTTTTGACATGAGACTCAAAAGTAAGCCTATAGTCAAGGGTGACGCCTAAATATTTTGCTGACATGTGCCATGGGACAGGGGTCCCTAGCATTCGTATAGGTGGAGTATTTTTCTTGTTTTTATTACGGCGTCTTTTAATATCGAATTGAACTGCGGAGCTCTTCTCCGGGTTCACATCGATACGCCATTTTTGGAACCAATCTCCTAGGTCATCGACTGACTTTTGGATCTTGTTCCTTGCTGAAGATATTCTAGGACTTTTAAAGTATAGTGCAGTGTCATCTGCGAAGAGTGAGAGCTGTACACCATTCGACGGGATAGGAATGTCGTTGGTGTACAAGATGTACAGGAGGGGAGCTAGTACTGATCCTTGAGGAACACCAGCTTTAATGGGGCGCTGAGAGGATAACGTGCCTTCGTGTCTAAAACGAAAGGTACGATGTTGTAAATAAGAGGCTACGAGACGTACTAGACGATCGGAGAGTCCTATCCTATATAATTTGAAAATAAGGCCTTCATGCCAGACTCGGTCGAAGGCTTTGGCAATGTCGAAAAAGACCGCGATTGTCTTTAGTCGACGTGGATAAAAACCGCTGAGGATATATTCCACAATGCGGTGTACCTGTTGTGGACACGAGTGTTTTGCGCGGAAACCAAATTGGTGTGGGATGACAATGGGGTCACCGTCTGTGGGAAACAGATGGCGCCTCATTCGATTTTGAATGACTCTTTCAAAGAGTTTGCCCATGGCCTTTAGGAGGCTAATGGGACGATGACTGGAGGGGAGGTTAAGAGGCTTGCCTGGCTTGGGAATACCAATGACAATTGCCTCTTTCCAAGAAGTGGGAAAGTAACTAAGATTAAAACAGGCGTTAAAGATAATAGCTAAGAGGGTTAACACCTGCTCTGGAAAGTATTTAAGGGCTTGGTTGGATATGCCATCCGCGCCCGGAGATTTTTTGGGCTTAAGTCCTTTGATGAGGGACGAGATCTCATCATTGGACACAGTGATAGGGTCAGAGGTTGTGGGGGGTGAGTTCCGGCGGCGGACCTCATCCTCCACTTCCTGAATATGTGAGGGGTCGACAGGTTGAGAGCTAGGAGAGCATTGTGCGGCAATGCTGTCTGCAAAGCACTCAGCCTTCTCGTCGTCCTCGAAGGCAACCGTACCGTCGGGGCGGGAGAGAGGGGGAGTGTGAGTTGTAGCGTCTATACGGAGGGCTCTAGCCATCTGATAGTACGCTGTATGTGAGGGAGATATATTCTCCATGAGTTCACTCCTTTGGAGCTCTCGAAATTCATAAAGGTGCGAACGGAGTTTTCGTTGAAGACGATTAGCCGTATGCCTATATTCGGGGGTGGGATATTTAGCTGCTCTCCGGAAAGCAGCTTTTTTAGCTTTTAATATGTTGCTAATATATAGGGGAAGCCCATTAGTATTAGCAACCGGAACGACCCTTTCATTCTCCTTAAGGGAGGATTTAATTAGGGTTGAAAGTGATTCGACCGCGGTGTCGATTTTTACAGGACTGTCTAAGTCTAAGTCCGACGATAGGTAATTAGGGGAGTCCTGCGAGTCCATAGCTTTTGCTAGCGAGTCCTTGAAACCCTTCCAGTTAGTGAAGGTTTTCGTAGTTATAATAGGGGGTGGCTGATGGCCAAGAATAAGAGAGACCGGTCGGTGATCGGATCCTATATCGTCTAGTGTCTCAATAGACCTGAGGTTGAGTGAAACTCCTTTGAGTAACGCAAAATCTAGTACATCTGGGTTATAATCGGTGTTATCGGGATAGTGCGTTGCACCGAGCGGGCTGAAAACGGTTAAGTCAAGAGACTGCGTTATATCACGCAGTATCCTACCATTAGTATTAATCGTACGGCATGTCCATTCAGTATGTTTAGAGTTAAAATCTCCAAACATAATGACTGAATTACTTTGAGATAAGATTGCCTCA